TACTTGCCATACTATCAAATGCACAAGATTCCATTTTTAAGATGCATGTTAGTTTTTGACTAATACATTGATAATTTTTAATGTTTTATTATGTTTTTCATTCATAAGAGAAATTTCTATTTATGGTATTTATAACTTTTGCATTCCTATCTTGAATTATGATGAAGGATTAAAAAAGAAGCAATGTTGAAATTGATTTCCAAAATGCATTGCTATAATGGGCCCTTTGTGTAAGATCAGGCAAAGTGAATAAAATGATATTTTAAATTTAATTATTTAGTTAGCATTTTATTTTAATTGATGAGCAATTATTGTATATATTGGGGGCTACATTGTGATGCTTTCATATATTTATATATTGTGGAATGACTGAATCATATCTGCCCCATAAAAACTGGGAGCAGTTAAACTGGCCATAAGGAATCAGAAAGTGTAGTTTTCCAGGTGTCAGGTTTGAATTTCATGAAATCAAGAAGAGGAGGGAATTCATCCACATAAGCATATAGCAACATTTTGATCTAAGACAAGATTGTGATTCTGACTTCACAAAGTGATATATCACTCCCTCTTTTGAAGTACTTTTTGACATGTCAATCCATTACAATGTATGGTTTAACCTTAATCCCAGTAAACTGTACTGTTATTAAGCAATAGATTAATTTGATTTTATATCATTAGAGACTTTTTTGGCTTAAAATTACATTGGATGTTCTAGAATTGTCCTTTTATTGCATATAAGGAGTATATTTCTTCTTATCAACCTTCTCTGTTTTCAAGAGAAAAGGTTAAATTTTTGGCACTCCTTATAATGAATCGCAGAACTCTGATTTTACTAATCTTAAAACGTATAGACAGTGAAATTAAGACTACTGGGCCTGTCGCTGCTAGGTATGCTGAAAGAGATTAAAGAGTTAAATAATGACTACCTTATTCAAAAGAGTAATATTTTAATAATAACCATATAAATTTAGTCAGTGTCAAAATGCTTATATAAACAATGCAATAAACTAAATCAAATGTCTGATATTTCTGATATGAAAAACAATTAGTCAGTTTATAATAGAGATACGTTAGGAGCTATCTTTGAAGATGGCATCCAATAATTCTTATCTCTTGATATTCATGTCCCTGCATTGTCCCCTCCCTCATTAAAGAGAGTTGTCCTGTGCAGCAATAAGACATTGCATATAAAACACAGCATGCCTCTGTGACCAGGTCATAAAAGATAAAGCAGCTTCTACTTTGCTATCTCTGGAATCACTAATTCTGGAGGAAGTCCATTGCCATGTTAGGAAGACATTTAGGTAGCCTTATGAAGATATTCACATGGCAATTACCTGAGGCCATCTACCAACAGCTATCACCAGGACTAGGTTGCTGGGCATATGGGATGAACTCATTGAGAAGCAGATCCTCCAGCCCAAACCAGCCTTAGTATGGCCAGCGGCATGTGGTTTCTTGATGGCAACCTTCTGAGAGCCCCTGAGCCATAATCATCAAGTCAAACTACTCCTGGATTCCTGACCACAGGAACTGTTAATCTATTATATTTAAGTTTATTTTGTTAATTAGTGATAGATAACTAACAATGACAGCTGATACAAGGGAAAGAATGTGGGGCTGGCTGTGAGGTTGACAAATCTAAAATGTGTTTTGAAAGCAACTTAAAGTGAATGCTCTTGGACTGGTTATTTTAACTCCCCTGTGTCTTAAATTTTTCATCAGTAAATCTTAACTCATAGAGGTGTGTAGAATAAATGAGAAAAAAGAATTTAAAGACCTGGAAAGTGTTTTTTTCTCCTTAAGAATATAGTTCTTTCTTTTCTTTAAAGTGGGCTTAATTTTATAGAGTTTCTTTTTAAAAAGGGTTTCAAGCTGATTATTTTCAGCACATAGAAAATGGACTTTACAGGGTGAAGAACTGCATGCAAAAAAAGGCTAGGGATGTCCAGGATCAGCCTCTGTTTTCTGTATATTTGGATGAAATTCTGACTTTGAAGAACTTGATTTAAGATAAATGTATATTTATAAACATTTCCTAACGTAAAAAAAAGTGAGGTAAATTATTTTTGACTGTTCATGTAAGCTCACAGAGGTGTGTAGAATAAATGAGAAAAAAGAATTTAAAGACTTTCAAAGATCTCTGGGAAACAGAACTCCTCCAAAGCTTGCAACAACTTTTCCTCCTTCTGACAGGGTCTCTGACAGCATCTCGCTCCTGGACAGGGTCTCAAAGGTCAAGAAGACAACTCTGAAATGTGTTGTATCTGTCTCTGCCATGTGTGCACTTGATTCCATTTTTTTCTGTGTCCTTGACTAAATAAATGGGGAAGTTGTAAGTGAGTATCTGTATAAGGAGTATCCTAGTTTGCAAACCTATAATCAAACTGAAATGCCTATACCTTTGGTATTTATCATTGGCATTTCCAATTATTTTTGATAAACTCTGCAGAGCCATGACCTACACTCAGTGCCATAGTAGAAGGGTTTAATCCATGGGTTCTTTTGCAAAATTTCCTAGATTTAAATTGCAGCTCTGCCACTAATTGTAAAAACTTGTACAAATGACTTAAAAATATGGTGTGTTTTGTTTTCCACAAGCAAAATCTAATAAAAATAATAGTATATTTCTCATCAGTTTGTTATGAGAATAAATGTTAATATTTGTTAGCAACTTAGAATACTAGCTATACGAATAGCAATAGATAGTTTTTCCTTTTGATGAAGTAACTATTTGAATAGCCTGGAACTTGATGGTGAGTCCTTAGGGAATATAGTTACAACCATTCAGCAACCAGACTCCTTTTCTCTACATATACTTTGCTTTACAATAGTTTGGAAAGGAAATTATTTATAAATATTTGAAAATTTGAATAATTCCTTATATAAAACTGAGAAAATGATAAATGCATATACTTCACTCAGAACTGAAAATATGTTTGCCTTTCAAAAGTGCATCTGATTTTCACAGCTGCTAGATTTTCCCTAGGTGTGTGAGTATGTTGGGGAAAACATTGATTGGGGAGAACCAATCTATTTTTTCCTTGTTAGCAAGTAGTTCTTAAACTTTTTTTTGAAAATATAATAAAAGCTGTAGTATGTCATCCCAGTAGGAAAAAAGCTGAAGCTGTGATTACGGGTACAAATAGGAACCTTGCTGTATATAGTGTAGGCCAAGAATGTGGACTGAGAGTTATTGCAGACTTTTTTTTTTTTTTTTTTGACAATGGTATCTGAATTTAGAAAAGGAAAAGGGAGATATAACAGGAAAAAAATATCCAGGACACCCAAGCATTGGAAAAAATTTGGCCTTTAACAAAGGAGCTCTCACTTGGATGACAAATAATTCTGATGGTTAGCTATTATTCCATTGATAATATATATTAAAAATGACTTTGGGAGACAGGTAAAATAATGTAAGTCAGTGTATTTAAACTCTTTTGTAGGGAACTGGGGGTTTGAGAGGTCTTGCAAGGACATGCTAAGAGGAGCTCTAGACAGGTGGAACTGAGGCTTCATTCATCCCACATCTATCAGGGAAGTGCTATGTTCATAGATACTAATTCTCAAATAAGATAATGTTTGAACAAAAAGTTCCACACATTTTCAAGTTTTGAGAGCACTCGACTGGTTGTATGTACATGTAGATAATTACAAACTGACCATTTTTCAACCTGGGTTATGAGGATCTGACAAAAGCTATATTTGAAGACTTAGAATGTCATAGGTGGAATGGGGGTGACCACAGATCATTTAATCTCCTTCTCAGTATTAAAAAAATATACTACAAAGCCCCAATTAGAATTAGCAAAAAGCATAAATTAATTAGTGAAAAGAATTGAAAAACCCAAATTATAAGAGGTTGCAAATAATATAGCTGCAAAAATTTAAGGTAAACCCACAGTGAGATATTCAGAGCATTAAGTCCAATGTTAAAGTGGGAGACTGTCTTCCACAGACCACTTTTTGATTCCAATTTCAAAATCAAAGTAACTGCTTATCTAATCCGTTTTCACCTATCATGGCAATTGTAAGTTCTTGTGCGATTTTGCCAGCTTTCTCTTTGGATGTTAGTTTCAATTAATTTTGAGCTAGGATCTGAGTAAACAAACCCCATACAACTGTGTTGAACTGTATGGAATTGCCAATATTTGGCTTTTCTGTTTTTTTACTAAAATATGGCAATTTAATATGACTCAGCCTAATATTTTTCTTGAATTTGTCCCTCCCTAATTTTGAAGCAAAATATGTGTAGTATAGATAATAATCCTTCCATCTGTATGACATCTTCTAGTTAGCCAACAGCTTCCTAGAAGCCTTGATAAGAGCAGTTGAAGAGGTATGCATGAGCCTACTGGTACAAGGAAGAAGAAAATATCAATCCTTGTCTTTTCTTGTTCAAAAGCTCTTACCAAGACTTGTGTGGTTTCTCTAGGGTACAATCATATAGAGCTGACATTAGAGTAGCCCCAAATCCTCTGGTTAGTTCTTTTAACTATGTATTTTATCTCCTCTACAGACTCCTTCGTGATAGAGTATCTGAAACACAGTGTCCCATAACACAGAACGTTCCACTGTCTTATGGGAGAGTCAGGCAGGTGCAAGGGTGGAGGCTTATCAAGGAAGCCAGGCCGAGTCTGCAGCTCAGTTGCACTTGAAGTGCTCTTGTGGGGGCTCTGCTCAAGTCCTTTAGAGCCAGGTTTACTTCCCAAGTAAACACGGTTGTCAGGAAGAGGCTTGGTGTGCTGGTTCAGAAAGGAAGCAAAGAAATGAAAGGCAATTGGCACTGGGGGATTTTCAGGCATTTCTGAGATTATATAAACCAATGTGGACTTTTCTTGTGGATGCTATGAGCTGCTCATCCCTCCCACGTGGGCCCCTTCCTTTTGCCTGCTGCTGAGTATCATTCAAGCCAGTTAAAGAAATTGCTTAAAGTATCCGAAACACAAACACATTAGCTCCCAGTGCTTGAAACACAGTAATAATCGCAAAGTCCTTACTTCTTCTCTCCTTTGTACCACTCAAAGGCCGGAGGCGGCACACCTGCACCTTCGCACCTTATCAATCCGCTGCGTCCGGGGATCACAGTGCCCGATTTAATTTCCTGAATTGTAGGAGCAACTGAAAATGAAAAAAAAAAATAAAATAAATAAAACCTGGTTGGTAAGGAAAAAAATATAATCTGCAGCAAAAAATATAACATACATATATTTTTATTCCTTGTATATTCAAAGCAATCTTATACCCGATATGCCCATGCATCACATTTGCAATATTTTATGCTTGAAACACAAGACTAGTCATTTTCAGCTTCATTTTTCAAGTTGGACAATAGATGAATGTTCACAGGGAGCAGCAGAGTAAATGCAATACATTTTGGTCTTACTTCCTGTTGGAAAAATGGCATGGTGAGGGGAACACTTCATCTGTACTCCAGTCAAACTACACTTCAATAACAGCTCTCGTTTATTGAGAAATCACTAGGAGTTAGTCAATGGACCAGGTGCTTTATGTTCCTGATTTCCTCATAGTAATTCTCTAAGCTCGATGGTATTATTCCCGTTTTACAAATGTGAAAATGGAAGTTCAGAGAAGTTAAACAATTTGTCTAAGGTCACACAGCTAGGCAGAATTTGTACTTGAAGTTGGCCGTGTTGAGGCAGTCCTGGACCCTTTCTTATTTTGTTTTCCCCTACTTACTCCCTGGGTTGAGCAATTTAGTGATTTTGTTATGTGCTTTCATCCATGTGGAAACTGCTTTTCTTCATTTCCACAGATTCAATGCCTATTTTAGGTGTCATGGTCTCCATATTCTTACTTCAGCTGGAAATAGCTGTCCCTTCTATGAGTATTATTTACGAGTTGCTCGTGCCTTACACTTTTGCTTTTCTGTTGTAATGATTTCATGGGTATGGGTAGCTTCCTAGTTAGCTCCTGATGGCAGGGTCAATATCCAATTCATCTTTGCACATTTAGAAATCAAAGCATAGTGCCTAGCAGAGAGTGATGCTTAAAAACCTTTTGTGTCACCCAGCTGTTCCTTTAGTCATCAGATGGTTATGGAGCCACCAGGAGGCGCCAGGCCTTTTTCAAGAGACAAAGCAATTCCACTATCAGCCTTATTCCAGATGAGGTAGGGATGAGGAGACAATAAACAGCAGGTATAAGGACACAGAAGTTTGAGTAAAAGTCAGAAGGTGATAAACACTATAGGAAAAACAGAGACAATAACAGCAGACACCTTACAGCATCGAAGTAGGAAGAATTTGAGCAAGGAATGAAATGTGGTGTTTTAGATGGTTATCTGAGTAGGCCTCCCTGAGAAGGAAGGATTTACAAACAGGCTGGGTGCAAAGGAGTGGTTTGCTCTGTGCACAGCTGGAGAAGGCCTTACGGGAAAGGAGAACAGCTTTCTATAAGAGCCCGGCTGAAGCAACCCTGCTTTGTTTGTGAAACACCAAGATCAGAGTGGCAGAAGCAAGGAGAAAGAAGGGAATGTGACAGGGGTCAGGGCCCAAGAGGAACAGGACAGGAGACCAGGTGGGACCTGGAGGGCCATGTTCCTGTTGTGAGTTTTACTGAGTGAAGTGGTGATGCACTACAGAAGAGAGGTGGGATCCGCTTTGTGCTCTGGAAGGAGCTCTCTGGTTGCAACATCATGGAAAGACACGGGTGAGGCCAAGATGGAAGAGGAGGGACTAGTTAGGAAATTGCTGCAAGTAACTGAAGCGATGGCAGCTCCTGCAGAGTGGCAAAAGGTGGTGCAGAGTGGCAAAAGGTGGTGCAGAGTGGCTGGGATCCAGGCCTGTTGTGATGATGGAGCCCCAAGGACCCCTTGACTGCAGTGAGAAGTGAGAAAAGGAGATGAGAGTCAAGGTGACTTCAGGTGGCTGACATGACTGCAAGAATGCCATCACTGAGAGGGGAAGTCTGTCAGGGGAAGAATTTTGGAGAAGATTTTAGGCCATGGACGATATGTCTTTTCATAAACATTTGCTTTTCTAAGCTTTAAACATAGCACATATGTTAAATAACACAATGGGAGAGAGTTCAGTACAACTGGATCCTTGAAAATGCAAATACCTGGTTCACTTAGAAACATGACCTGAGTAACTGTGTGCTCTGAATATAGTTAAGTTTCCTTTGGAAAGCAATGAAAAAAAAAATAGGGTTTAATGTTTTTCAATAGGTGGTGAATATAAAACCTGGAAATAAACCTTCATATAATAAAACATTGTCTTTTTTTAAAATACCCTAGTAAATTCATCACTTTCTATTAAGGGTGATTCTTCATTTTTTAAGTTATTGCACCTCTATTTTTCTATGGTATTTTATTCTTAATAGTAAAGATTCAATTTAAATAAGGTTCCAGAAAAAATCACAAAAACCTATTTTTATTAAAGTACTTGCTAATAACTTGGTGAAAAATAATGGAAGAATATTTATCAAAAATATTTGAATGAGGAAAGATTGCAAGCTACAAACACATAAAAATACACACAAATACAATGTAAAGAATGCCTTAGCAATTTTTAATTGTTTTGTTAAGGGAAGATTCATGTCCCTTTGTACAAAGCAATAAAACCTATAAAATATACCTATAAATAAAATTCCACTCATCTGTCAATTAGTATGACACTGATTTGCTTGTAAAAGGTACAGGTAAGATTGTATTTTTATTATTGTTGTTGTAGGCTTTCAACTTGCTCCTTGTCACATTAGCAGGCTGTAATCTTTCATGATATCCAACTATTATTGAAGATGAAATAACCATATGCAACAGGAGATCCATCACAAGCTTCTATTGATAACCTGGTTAGTTTAATTACTCTCTTGTTTGTCAAGGGGGCCATGACTCATTATAAACAAAAGCATGAAATCCGGAACATTGCCTGAAAACCCAGGCGTAATGAACCGAAATAAAAATCTAATTTGTCATTAAAAGGCTTTTATGCAGTACAGTGTGCATATGGCTTGGCACAGGGTGCTTTACCACACAAGTTAAAGGGACCTGATCCTGTTTTCTAGGCAGTCATGAAATGCTGATGC